TTAAAAATATAAAAGGGTGATAAATATAACTTGAAACTTTAATCATCGAGGAATTTTGTTATCGAAAAAGTCGAGTATCCATCTTCTTGGATTGCGAGAAGTCCAGATTCTTCGAGGATCTCGAATTTTTTTTAATAATTGGAACAGAGGCGCCGTCCAATAGGTTTCAGAAGGAACGCGGGGTAAAAATTCTTCCACGAGAAAAGAAGGATTCGCGAGGGAAGAAGTGGTGAGATCGATCTTTTATGGAGGGAATCGAAGTCGTGGAATAAGGACCGGGAACATAATTATTCGACGAGTCAAGAAATCCAAAGATCGCGAGAAAGAGGGAGATAAAGGGAAACGATGGAGTGAAAGAAGTGGAGAAGAGAGAGGGTTCATTCTTCGGTGCGACTGGAATCCGAAATGTTTCGAGGGCGCGTTATCTTCTTGCGTCGTTCCTCGACAGTGCCACTCGCGGATTCCACGATACGACACGAGTCTGTGTGGGTACGTACCTGTACAAGTTTAAATAAGCAAGCGCACGTGCGCGAGATGATCCTTTGCATCTCTTCTACGAGCGTGACGTGAAAAAGTACTTGAGAAAAGGTGAACAAGAAACACTCGCATTCGTTTTTCATGTGTATGTATATTTTTAGTCTTATAGAATATTATTCTTGATATTTTCTTCATGTGTACAATTTCTACGACATTCTATTTTACGCTAATTGAAATTACTATCGTTTCACTATCGTTTATACCAGAGTAAATTAAATTCAGAGAGATCTGTTATTAATAGTTATGTTTATTTAAAAAAATTTTTTAAGATAATTAGATTAATGTAATAATTATTATAATAAATAATTATAATAATTATTATCTTAATCTATTTAATTATAATAAATAATTATAATAATAAATTTTTTGAGATAATATAGATTTTTTCCAGATAATAAATTATATTTTAATATATTTTATATTATATTTTTATTAATATATAATATTTTTATTTGTAATGTAATATTTATATTATATTTTTAATATATTATATTTCAATATATATATTTAATATTTTCGAAAGAGTTTTTTTATACAATAAACAATGTTTTCCTTTCTTTCCGATATTCCTACAAGCTTTAATAGTTATATTTCTTAAAAACCATTTTTTATATAATTTGATGAGAATTTGGCAAAAATCGAATTTATATAGCGGGAGCTTCAACATTTAATTGTCTCTTATTCGAAGAATGATAAAAAGTGTCAAGACTTGTATTTTGCTTCGTGTTAAAATATTCCAGGCATACCATAGGATCAGAGATTAGAGAGTTCCGACCACTTGATTTTTTTTTTTATTCCTGATTATGACGACGGAACGAGAAATTAAAATGTACCGGCGTTAATTAAAAGAGAATTTGGTTTTTTCATACTTACAATTAGCTATATATATTGCATTACATACTTTATAAAAAATGTGATATTATTTATATTATTTTAAATTTCTAATTCTGGAATATAATTTAAAAAAGATTGACGAATATAGAAGGACATATATATTTCTATATTAATGTATGATATCTTTATAAAATTTAAGAAATTTTGATTGTGTCTAAAAAGAATTAAAGTTGATTGATATTGATAAGCTTTCACTACGAGTCAATCAATTTGTAAAGATCAACTTGCGAACTCTGAGATGCGTGTATCGCACGACCAGAAAACTATAATCTAGAATTTGATCGAATTCACGTACAATCAGGAGTCGCAGAGAAGGTGGAAGGCAAAGAGAGAGAAAGAGAGAGAGGGAGAGAAGAAAGAGTGCGCCTCATCCCGTAGCGGTAACGAGTCGAGACGGCCCGAGAACATCGGCGGTGCCACTTCAAAGCGGGAATCCCGCGCAATCAGGCCCCCTGCCCTTCCGAGGCATGCTTGAAAAACCGAGCACGAGGGTACCATCGTGCTGTCCCCCGCCCCCTCGCCTTTCGCGTGCCCTCGCGCAGCTTCGCGCTCTTGGTCCAGAGCGACTAAAGTCACCGGCGATCATCGCCGCGCAAGAGAGAGAGTAGAAAGAGAGTGCACGACGGTCTGACCAGCATTGATGTCTCCGAGACTACTCGGAGACATCAATGCTGGTCAGACCGTCGTGCACTCTCTTTCTCCCTTCCTCTTTTATTGCTAACTATAAGAAAATTACTCGGGCTTTTGTTCCATTCATTATATGTCACTATGGCTCTTGAAAAAATTATTAAATAATGAAATTTTAATTGGGAAACTTTAATTTTGTTTAAATTTATTAAAATGATATTAAACTGAAATAATTAAATATAAATACTGTCAAAATAAAAATAAATTATTAAAAAATATTATATATATTATTTATAATAGTTAGACATATTTATAATATATTTAATTAATATATTTATAATATATTTAATAATTATATAAATTTTAACTAAAAAACTTTAATTTTTTTTAATTTATTCAAATGATATCAGACTGAAATAATTATTAAATATAAATACTGTCAAAAAATAAAAATAAATTCTTAAAAAATACTATATATATTATTTATAAAAGTTAGATATATTTATAATATATTTAATAATTATATAAATTTTAATTGGAAAACTTTAATTTTTTTTAAATTTATTTAAATGATATTAAACTTAAATAATTAATAAATATATTTACTGTCAAAAAATAAAAATAAATTGTTAAAAAATACTACGTATATTATTTATAAAAATTAGACATACTTATAATATATTTAATAATTGTAAAAATTGATATTAGAGTTTCTCATGGACGAGTATTCTTTTGCGAAATTAATCACGAGACACAGATAGACGGGAAATTAATCCCGAGACGCGTAAAGTATCATTAGAAAAGACGTGAAAATGTTATTGTTAATTAGCCGGATCGTATATATGGCTCGCACGCGCCGTAGTACATTAATAAATTACTTTCCATTCTCTTCTTTTTCATTTACACTACTCTGCTATAACTGTAAATGCGGAACGACGTCATTAGTGGCCACCGCGATGCACGCGCGATGCGTAGGTCCATGCTTTTTTAATTGCTATTTTCGGTCACGTGTGTCTAGGAAAATATCCAAGACCCAAGACAGTTACGAGTAATTACATCTGTATAAAATATTACCGCCGTATTAATGCGAAATGTGAGTGCTTGGATATAATTTAATGCATTTCTACCGTCGACGTAATAAATCCCCGCTTTAATATCCTTTTCTTCCTCGCGAATAAAATTCGCTCTAACCCCTGCAATCGTAAGCTTTGCGAGCAAAGCTTTGATCAGATTAACGTAATTCTCGAAGGACACTATTGGTATTGAAAAATTGCGCTAATTTATTTATCATTATTTTTTTATGAGAAGGAAAATCAAAACTGTTTTTTACTATAAGATTAATTTAATTCAATTGCTCGATAGTCGTGATGAAATCATTGGATTGACATTACGATACGTATTTTGTCAGAAACTATTTAATAGACTGAATGATGAGCTATCATTGCCATAAAAGTGCAAAATGTCAATTTCTTAAGTCACGAGCAAAATTGCAAAAATTAAATTAATTCGTTATTTCACCAAAATTTGTTTGGATGACGTACGTAATAATTAACACAAATATTAGAGAAATATTTAGCAATAAGTATAAATTATTTTCATTCTTTTAGACTCGTGCAAAAATTCACATTCGTGCTTTCGTTTAATTTTGTGCGAGCAATTTTGCCTCTATTCGCATTCTTCGACGATGACTTAAGATGAAAACTAGAAGCGAGCATCTATCGATGTTAGAGAGAAAGGGAGAGAAAGAGGCAATAAATACCTCGGAGAGAACGATCCGTGCATGTGCGATAACGTCATGAAGAAGATCCTGACCATCTATCGCGTTGCAAAATACAGATTACTAATGACGATATGAATAGTTGCTCACGATAATTGGATTGTTTTTTCGTCATGATTTTCAGTGGACTAAATTCCATTAAATGCGTGCTTTATTTGTTGTCGTCAATTCGGACTTTCTTTCGCGAAATAATCGCCCGTGAAATGCAAATGTTCGTTCCAGCTGATTAACGGTAGCGAAAGTACAGGTATCTATCTATTTTTATGATCTCCGCGAATAAATTAATTATATATACGGAAATTATGACACAGAGTATCGATTTTCGATTTATGAATCGTATAAATCTGTCGTATAAATCTAGATGTGCGTAAATCAAGCTAGCACATCGCGAGAAAACCGTTTTTCTTCAAATGTCTTGTATGCAGATTAATTTATAATAAATTATCAATAAATTCTTGTTGTTACAATAATTCTTGTTGTATTATTTTTTAAATAATTTATATTTGAATAGAATAAGAACGAAGTTATGTATTAATATATTTAACATTGTTAAGTATCGATTGTTAGTTTTAATCACTCATTTGTTGATTATATGTTTCATCATTTATATTGCTCGTTGTAGAACTATAATCAATGTTCTTTACAAGACTTTGAATTTCTCGTTGTGTCATGAAACTGGTTATAATAGACCTTCGTAATGACAATTAAAACGCTAGATATCATCAAAGTCGGAAAAATAAGAAATAAAAATTGCAATCTACGACTGACAAGGTCGTCAAAATGATGAAAAATATTGTTTTAAAATGTCCATGATCATATCTAGATATTTATTAGAATTAGTTAAACGTAATAATAAGCGTAATAATAAGCGAATATTTCAAAAGGGTAATATCGTAAATATATTTCCGTATAGAAAATAAACGACGAATGCACGTCGAATTGTGAGATAAGATAAGATCTAACAAAAAATAGCGTGCAGATCGTCGCAGAGACGAGACATTGTAATTACACTGCTGCTTATTTGACGAACTTGACGCGTCAAATCCTGTCGCAAATTACGCAAAAAGCGCGATTACGATCGGAATCGCGTTACTTCCTGTCGACGATGGTCTTGTTGTTTTTTTCCGCATTTGGACACATAAACACGTCGCAGATTATGACATATATAAAAGCGAAGAAGAAAAATTTCTGCTGACTAGTGTGCATAGTGCATCAAGTTAAGCACGATGATTAAACTATTCCTCATTACTTTACTTTGCGTGACGCTGGTGGTAAGAAATTTCGCAAAAATAATTTATTTGCAATCTCAAGACAAAGTAACGTATAAATTATGCCAATTATGTTGATATTTTATGTCGATTTAAATATGATAAATTAAATATAAATAGTTATAATTTTTTAAATATAACCATAATATGAAGGAATTTTTTAAAAATAACAATAATATGAAGGAAAAAGTACACATATAAGAATAAATTTTTATGGCTTATATTATTGAAAAAATAAATGTAAATAATATACTTCTGAAAATATTTTTATTTATTTTAAATAATTTATTGAAACATTTGTATCGCTTGACGCATGCAATTCCATCACACGTTAAATAGTACCGATTATTCAGAGTTATTAGTATTTTGGGATTAGAGAATAATTAATATTGTTTATATTTTAATATCAATTAAATTTTAATTATAAGACGAATATATATCTATGCAAAATAATAAAATTTAATTGCTTTTTTAGTTTGCCGAATCGCCACTAGAAAACTTTCGAAATGTACGAGTAAGTAAGATGCAAGTCTAAATAACTTATATATAAATATGTATAATGTTATGCTTTATTTTAATAAAATTTTCTTCTATTCGACAAAATTTCAAGCAGAAAAACAATGTAATAATTTCTTTCATATTTTTGTTGGATTTATATTTATTATCAAATAATATTTATTTAAAGGCACTGGACAAACCAATGACAGGATTACATGCGAAATTAGTACGACGATCACCACCTGGAGGGGGAGGAGCAGGAGGGGAAGGGCATGGAGGAATGTCAGGAGGTAAATATTTACTTTAACTTATCCACCATCAATGATTTGATCTTGACATATGCTGTCAAAACCACTATTCTGAGTGACCCTCAAAAAATTTTCGCTCGTTATTTATTAAAAAGTTATAAATAGAAAAAGTTTTACGAATTTCACGTAATTTTCGGACATATACGTTTCATAAAATAAACTTCTACCCGATTCATTCATTCATGTGTAGTAAGTGAACTGTGTGGGCTTCGCTTCTCTCCCTACGCATCCCCCATTCCTCAAAAACTAATCTAACAAAGCTACTTTTTATTTAAAATCGAAATTAGGTTTGGGTTCGATTATATTTTCCGGAAGTTGACCTCTGCCATAAGGGAAAGAGAATCTACTGTATCCACGCACGTATTTTTCAAAACGAAGAAAAGTTTACTTTCAATGAAAGTCAAGCTTAAATGTAGAGTGAACTTAGCTTCGCCTTGTAACAACATGCGTGAACACAATAGGTTTAAGCCCTCCTCACAGAGGGTTTCATTTCCGTAAAATATAACTTAAACCTATTTCTGGTTTGAGTTACTCTATATAATTAAAATTTTTTGCACCGTGCTTTCAAATTGTACAGAACGGAAACTTTTTTTCGAAGGGAAAAAAAGGACGGAACCCTTTTTCTACTCACACGTTTCATTTACTACACATAAACGAATGAATCAAGTACAAATTCATTTTGTGAAATGTACAAAATATCCGAAAATTAAATGAAAAACTTTGATTATAACTTAAAAAAAGGAACGGTTAAAAGTTTTTGGGGATCACTCAGGGTAATGAAAATATATGTCAAGATCAAAGTCGTTAGATAAATTAAAATAAATTTTTCCCCAGGATTTGGTATGGATGCCGGAGCAAGATTTGATAAATATTTACTTTAACCTACTAGCAATGACTTTAATCTTGACACATGTTGTCAAAGCCACTACGTTCAGTAACCGCCGAAAATTTTTCGCTCGTTGTTTATTAAAAAATTATAAACAGAAAAAGTTTCATTAATTTCACGTAATTTTTGATCATATACGTTCATAAAATGAATTTCTACCTGATTCATTCATTCATGTGTAGTAAGTGAAGTGTCTTCATCCCTTTCTCTCCATCCTTATCCTGAAAAAGATTAATCTAACCCAAAAGATTAATCTAACCCCCTACTTTTTATTTAAAATCAAAATTAAGTTTGGGTTAGATTATATCTTCCACAAGTTGACCTACCCCGTAGGAAAAAGAGAACCTACTGTGCATATATTTTACCTCCACGCATATATTTTCCAAAACGAAGCAAAGTTCATTCGCAGCAAGAATCAAGATTATAGAGTAAATTTCGCTTTTTGCAAAGAACATGCGTAGATAAAGTGGGTCCTGATCCCGCTTGAGGGACTACATTTTCAGAAGATATAAACTAACTTAAACTTTGTAACTTAAGATATAACCTTACTATTTCTGATTTACAAAATTCTGATTTAAAATTCTTGGTTTCGATTACTTTATATAGTTCAAATATTTTACATCGTACTTTCAAATTGTACAAAACGAAAACTTTTTTTCGAAGGGGTGGAGAGAAAGGAACAGAGCCTCTTTTCTACTCACGCGTTTTATGTACTACACATAAACGAATGAATTAGGTAGAGATTCATTTTGTGAAATGTACATATACGAAAATTACATAAAATTCGTAAAATTTTTTTGTTTATAACTTTTTAATAAATAACGAATAGATTAAAACTTTTTAAGAATCTTTCAGAGTAGTGACAACATAGTCAAGATTAAAATCGTTGAGTAAGTTAAAGTAAATGTTCACCCAAAATTTAATGTAGGTGGAAGTATGGGTGGAGGAGCAGGAGGAAGCGGCAAATAATGATCATGAAAATCATATGGATCATCGTACAATGAATAGTTTATGCTCTTTAGGTAAACAATTCTTAAACTGTAATGTGATTCATTAGTGAATTATAAACTTTATGAATTTTATAATTCGCGCTTAACAGTTTATTTGTTATACGTATATACTTTCTATTTAAGAAAATTATGCGCTTTTACTTCAATAATTATTAATTAATTAATTATTATTAATAAAATAATTAATAACAATAAAATTATATAGTTGATATGTAGCTTCTTATTACATTTTTACTTCAAGAGTAACTGTAATATCGTATGAAATATTTGACAGTTTACATTACATTACATTTCGTATTTTATATATAAGTTATGAGAGGAAATATATCCATATACACATCACAATATATATAGTATAAAATCAAGTATAATCACAATGTATACATATTATACATATATTTACACATGCGTTACATGTGTATATGTCTATATAGAATACAAAGTATATAAATATATGTGATTATCGATATATAAACAAGTTTAACATTTAGAAAAATATGTAAATATTAAAAATGAATTACAACAGATTTATATTAATTTAATTTATTATTAATTTTGTATATATTTTGTAGGTCTCTGGATAGATATGGATATTGAAGCCTATCATTATAAGATAGATAAAAATGATTTAGATTTCACTCCGCACTTTGACACGTCTTTATTAGATTGCTTTGCACACTCAAGAACCCCGATGATTTTAAAATAAAACTTAGCACTCTGCAAAATACTTATTCTTATTTATTGTTTTTATTTCATTCATTTTATCCTATTCATACCCTTAACAAAATCGAAATAAACCGAAATAAATCGAAATAAATAGTGAAAACTTTTTAATTTTGACGTATATTTGTACGTACGTAATAATGTATTTTTCGTTATTAAATTTCTTTGTTTTTACTAATAAAAATAATTTTTTTATATATTAAAATAAATACAGAGTGTATGTATATATTTAATGTATTTCTAACGTATTTTAATAAATATAATCCGGATTATATCCCATATTATATATTTTACTGTTCAGTAAGTAGTCCAAAAAAAGGAACAGAACATATTTATGTACATTTGAAATAAATTGTTGAACAAAAACTGCGCAATTCTTCGTATGATTTTATCATGCTTCTAAATTTTCGACGTTTCTCAAAAATATCTCAGAAGGTTAAGAACATATTTATCAGAGAGAGAATATTTGTCGCGGTACTGACTTTAATGATCTTATACATAATTTTACACGCAACGCACGTATTAACAATAATAAACGCAATGTAAATGAATAAAAGATGAAAAAAATGTACTCACATGAACGACGTTTTGTCATTGTTATCCTGTTCCATCGCCTTTAATCACATCGTCGAATCTGTTCCATCGCCTTTAGTCACATCGTCGAATCCGTTCCATCGGCTTTAATCATGTCGTTGAATCCTTTTCATTCATTCTTTTTTTACACACTCACTTATATCGCGACACAAAACGCGCGCGAAACAGGTAAAGAACAATTACGAAACATAATTATCAAACTCCTACATTTCAACACTTATGACTTCATTAAATTGCCGAAAACGTAGATCTAAAGTTGTTTATTGACTCGAATTTTTTGGTTAAAGAGAAAATTTTCGCGTAGAAAGTTTCGTGTACACCGCTTGTTTCTCATTCGTTGGATTATATCGACCGTCAGGATTCTCGAGAGATAATCGAGACATTATGTGACAGTAAGAGACGAGGAAGACACGTGTCGCGAAACGTAAGTGACAAGTACGTTTCGGCGAATATACGTCGGTGCGAAATTCACTTCTAAAATTCATTACATTATCCGAGAATCTTCAAAATTGATGCACACATTTACATAACGTTAAATATTTTTAATATAAGATATTCAACTTTTGTCAAAACAAAATCTTTGTTTAAACTTTCATGTAGCTTTATCATATAAATGATTGTCGGGAATATCGAATTAATTAACGATAATTAATCGATTTTTTTAATTCGGCTAAATAATACGATATTTTCCGTGTTAAATCGGTAGTATTAATGGATTAATAATCTCAAATTTACTCGTAATTGATCATGTTTAATGCTTCTTAATATTTATCGCGATATTTTTAAAATAATTTAACGACACGGAGCGCTTTGCTTCCGCGAATAAATTAATTATGTATTCGGAAATTATGACAGAGTATCGATTTTCGATTTATGAATCGTATAAACCTGTCGTATAAATCTGGATATGCTTAAATCAAGCTAACACGTCACGAGAAAATCGTTTTTTTTTAATATCTTGTATGCAGATTAATTTATAATAAATTATCAATAAATTTTTGTTGTTAAGATCTTAATGTATTATTTTTTAAATAATTTATATTTTAATAGAATAAGAACGAAGTTATGTATTAATATATTTAACATTGTTAAATATATTATCGATCGTTATCGATCGTTAGTTTTAATCACTCATTTGTTGATTACATTTTTCATCATTTATATTACTTGTTATAGAACTAATTAATGTTCTTTACAAGACTTTGAATTTCTCGTCGTGTCACGAAACTGGTTATAATAAACCTTCGTAATGACAATTAAAACACTAGACATTATCAAAGTCGGAAAAATAAGAAATAAAAATAGTAATCTACGACTGACAAGGTCGTCAAAATAATTAAAAAAAAATGTTTTAAAATCTCCATTTATATTTAGATATTTATTAGAATTAGTCAAACGTAGCATAATAATAAGCGAATATTTCAAAAGGGTAATATCGTAAATATATTTCCGATAGAAAATAAACGACGAATGCGCGTCGAATTGCGAAATAAGATAAGATTTAGCGATCGCAAAGAATAGCAATGCAGCAGCGTGCAGATCGTCGCAAAGACGAGACATTGTAATTATACTGCTGCTTATTTGACGAACTTGACGCGTCAAATACTGTCGCAAAATATGCAAAAAGCGCACTTACGATCGAAATTGCGTTACTTCCTGTGGATGATGGTCATGTTGTTCTTTTCCGCATTTGAACACATAAACACGTTGCAGATTATGACATATATAAAAGCGAAGAAGAAAAATTTCTGCTGACTAGTGTGCATGGTGTATCAAGTTAAGCACGATGATTAAACTATTCTTCATTACTTTACTTTGCGTGACGCTGGTGGTAAGAAATTTCGCAAAAATAATTTATTTGCAATCTCAAGACAAAGTAATGTATGAATTATGCCAATTGTGTTGATATTTTGTGTCAATTTAAATATGATAAATTAAATATAAAAAGTTAGAATTTTTTAAATATAATAATAACAATAATATGAAGGAAAAAGTACACATATAAGAATAAATTTTTATGGCTTATATTATTGAAAAAATAAATGTAAATAATATACTTCTAAAAATATTTTTATTTATTTTAAATAATTTTTTGAAACATTTGTATCGCTTGACGCATGCAATTCCATCACACGTTAAATAGTACCAATTATTCAGAGTTATTAGTATTTTGGGATTAGAGAATAATTAATATTGTTTATATTTTAATATCAATTAAATGTTAATTGTAAGACGAATATATGTATATGTAAAATAAAAAAATTTAATTGCTCTTTTAGTTCGCCGAGTCGCCGCAAGAAAACTTTCGAAATGTACGAGTAAGTAAGATGCAAATCTAAATGACTTATATATAAGTATGTATAATGTTATGCTTTATTTCAATAAAATTTTCTTCTATTCGACAAAATTTGAAGCATAAAAACAATGCAATAATTTCTTTCATATTTTTGTTGGATTTATATTTATTATCAAATAATATTTATTTAAAGGCACTGGACAAACCAATGACAGGATTACATGCGAAATTAGTACGACGATCGGCACAAGGGGGAGGAGCAGGAGGGCAAGCAGGAATGGGAGGAGGATTTGGTAAATATGTACTTTAACTTACCCACCATCAATGACTTTGATCTTGACATATGCTGTCAAAACCACTATTCCGAGTGACCCTCAAAAAATTTTCGCTCGTTATTTATTAAAAAGTTATAAATAGAAAAAGTTTTACGAATTTCACGTAATTTTCGGACATATACGTTTTATAAAATAAACTTCTACTCGATTCATTCATACATGTGTAGTAAGTGAACCGTGTGGGCTTCGCTTCTCTCCCGCATCCCCCATTCCTCAAAAACTATTCTAATCCAAAGCTACTTTTTCATCTAAAATCGAAATTAGGTTTGGGTTTAGATTATATTTTCCGGAAGTTGACCTCTGCCATAAGGGAAAGAGAACCTACTGTGTCCACGCACGTATTTTTCAAAACGAAGCAAAGTTTACTTTCAGCGAAAGTCAAGATTAAATGTAGAGTGAACTTAGCTTCGCCTTGTAACAAACATGCGTGAATACAATAGGTTTAAGCCCTCCTCACAGAGGGTTTCATTTTCGTAAAATATAACTTAAACCTATTTCTGGTTTGAGTTACTCTATATAATTAAAATTTTTTGCACCGTGCTTTCAAATTGTACAAAATAGAAACTTTTTTTTGGAGAAAAAAAGGGGAAAAAAGGGACGGAATCCTTTTTCTACTCACACGTTTCATTTACCTACTACACATAAATGAATGAATCAAGTACAGATTCATTTTGTGAAATGTACAAAATATCCGAAAATTACGTGAAAAACTTTGATTATAACTTAAAAAAAAGAACGGTTAAAAGTTTTTGGGGATCACTCAGGTTAATGACAATATATGTCAATATCAAAGTCGTTAGATAAGATATAATAAATATTTCTCCAGAACTTGGTGCGAAAGCCGGAGCAGGATTAGGTAAATATTTATTCTAACCAGCAATGACTTTAATCTTGACACATGCTGTCAAAGCCACTACCTTGAGTGACTGCCAAAAAATTTTCGCTCGTTGTTTATTAAAAAATTATGAACAAAAAAGTTTCATGAATTTCACGTAATTTTTTATCATATACGTTCATAAAATGAATTTCTACCTCATTTATTCGTTCACGTGTAGTAAGTGAAACGCGTGAGTAGAGAAAGGGTTCCGGCTCTTTCTTTTCCTTCGAAAAAAAGTTTCTATTTTGTACAATTTGAAAGCACGGTGCAAAAAATTTTAATTATATAAAGTAACTCAAACTATATAGGTTTAAGTTATATTTTACGGAAGTGAAACCCTCTGTGAAGAGAGCTTGAACCTATTGTATTCACCCATGTTTGGGTACAGATTCATTTTGTGAAATGTACAAAATATTCGAAAATTAGGTGAAACACTTTAATTATAACTTAAAAAAAAGAACGGTTATAAGTTTTTGGGGATCACTCATAGTAATGAAAATATATGTCAAGATCAAAGTCGTTAGATAAGTTAAAATAAATATTAATACAAGTTAAAATAAATATTTCCCTAGGATTTGGTATGGACGCTGGAGCAAGATTTGATAAATGTTTACTTTAATCTACCAGCAATGACTTTAATCTTGACACATGTTGTCAAAGCCACTACCTTGTGTGACCTCCAAAACGTTTTCGCTCGTTGTTTATTAAAAAATTATAAAGATAAAAGTTTTATGAATTTCACGTTATTTTTAATCATATACGTTCATAAAATGAATTTTTATGGATTCTCTGATTTATTCATTCATATGTAGTAAATGAAATACGTGGGCTTTGTCCCTCTCTCTCCGCATCCCCAACCTGAAAAAGATCTAACACAAAGCTATTTTTTATTTAAAATCTAAATTAGGTTTGAATTAGATTATATTTTCCGAAAGATGACCCTGTAGGAACCTATTGTGTACGCATGTACTCGTATTTTTGTAATAAACAACGATTAAATTTTCTGTTACTCAGGGTAGTGATCTTCATAATATATGTCAATATCAAAGCCATTAGATAAATTAAATTAAATATTTATCCATATTTTATGGCGGGAGCAGGAGGGGAAGCAGGAGGAGGAGTAGAAGGGGGAGCAGAAGCTGGATTTGGTAAGTATTTACTTTAACTTATCTACTATCAATGACTTTGATCTTGACATATGTTGTCAAAACCACTATTCTGAGTGACCCTCAAACAATTTTCGCTCGTTATTTATTAAAAAGTTATAAATAAAAAAAGTTTTACGCATTTCACGTAATTTTCGGACATATACGTTTCATAAAATAAATTTCTACCCGATTCATTCATTCATGTGCAGTAAGTGAACCGTGTGGGCTTCGCTCCTCTCCTTACACACACCCCATTCCTCAAAAACTAATCTAATCCAGAGCTACATTTTATTTAAAATCAAAATTTGGTTTGGGTTAGATTATATCTTCCGAAAGTTAACTTCCCCCGTAGGGAAAAGAGAACATACTGTGTCCACGCATGTATTTTTCAAAACGAAGCAAAGTTCACTTTCAGCGAGTGCCAAGATTAAACGTAGAGTGAACTTAGCTTCGCCTTGTAACAAACATGTGTGAACACAATAGGTTCAAGTCCTCCTCAGAGGGTTTCACTTCCGTAAAATATAACTTAAACCTATTTCTGGTTTGAGTTACTTTAAATAATCAAAATTTTTTGCACCGTGCTTTCAAATTGTACAAAGCGGAAACTTTTTTTCGAAGGGAAAGAAAGAGACGGAACGCTTTTTCTACTGACACGTTTCACTTACTATACATAATCGAATAAATCAGGTACAGATTCATTTTGTGAAATGTACAAAATATTCGAAAATTACGTGAAACACTTTGATTATAACTTAAAAAAAAAGAAAGGTTAAAAGTTTTTGGGGATCACTCAGGGTAATGACAATATATGTCAAGATCAAAGTCGTTAGATAAGTTAAAATAAATATTAATATAAGTTAAAATAAATATTTTCCCAGGATTTGGCATGAACGTCGGAGCAGGTTTTGATAAATATTTACTTTAACCTACCAACAATAATTTTAATCTTGCTATATGTTATCAAAGCCACCACATCCAAAAATTTTCACTCGCTTATTAAAAAATTATAAAAAAAGATTTATTTTATGAAATGTACATAATGTCCGAAAATTACGTAAAATTCATGAAATCTTCCTGTTTAATAAAAAACAACGATTAAGTTTTCCGGAGATCACTCAGGGTAGTGACTTTGACAATATATGTCAAGATCAAAGCTAAAGATAAGTTAAAATAAATATTTATCCAGAAATTATGGGGGAAGCAGGAGGGCAAATAGGAGGGGGATTTGGTAAATATTTACTTTAACTTACCCACCAGCAATGACTTTGATCTTTACAGATGTTATCAAAGCTACTATCCTGAGTGACCTCCAAAAAGTTCTCGCTCGTTGTTTTTAAAAAAATTATAAATAAAAAAAGTTTTATGAATTTCACGTAATTTTTGATCATATACGTTCATAAAATGAATTTCTATCTAATTCTTTCATTCATGTGTAGTAAGTGTGGGAAGTGACATCATCCCTTTCTCTCCATCTCTATCCTGAAAAAGACTAATCTAACCCAAAACTTTTTATTTAAAATCAAAATTAAGTTTGAGTTAGATTATATCTTCTGGAAGTTGATTTCCCCCGTAGGGAATGGAGAACCTATTGTGTCCACGCATGTATTTTTCAAAATGAAGCAAAGTTCACTTTCAGCGAGAATCAAGATTAAATGTAGAGTGAACTTAACTTCGTTTTTTAAAAAACATGCGTGAATACAATAGGGTCAACCCTCCTTATAGAGGGTTCCATTTTCGTAAAATATAATTTAACCCTATTTCTAGTTTGAGTTACTTTATATAATTAAAATTTTTTGCACCGTGCTTTCAAATTATACAAAACGGAAACTTTTTTTCGAAGAGAAAAAAAGAGACGGAATTCTTCCTCTATTCACGCGTTTCACTTATTATACATAAATGAATGAATCAAGTACAGAATCATTTTGTTATATGTACATAATATCCGAAAATTACGTGAAACACTTCGATTATAACTTAAAAAAATCGTTAAAAATTTTTGAGGATCACTTAGGATAATGACAATATATGTCAAAATCAAAGTCATTAGATAAGTTAAAATAAATATTTATTCAGAAATTATGGGGAGATTAGGAGAGGAAGCAGAAAAGCGAGCAGAATGGGCAGTAGGATGGACAGCATGATGGGGAACAGAAAGAGGAACAGGATTGGGAACAGGAGGGGGAGCAGGATGGGGAGCAGGATGGGGAGCAGGAGAGCAAATAGGAGGGGAAATTGGTAAATATTTACTTTAACTTACCCACAGCAATGATTTTGATCTTTACATATGTTATCAAAGCCACTATTCTGAGTGACTTCCGAAAAGTTCTCGCTCGTTGTTTATTAAAAAATTGTAAACAATATATGTCAAGATCAAAGCCATTAGGTAAGGTAAAATAAATATTTATCCAGAATTTATGAAGGATAAGGAGGGAGAGTAGAAGAGGGAGCAGGATGGGGAGGGGGTTGGGGAGTAGGAGAGCAAATAAGAGGGGAATTTGATAAATATTTAATTTAACTTAATCACCAGCAATGACTTTGATCTTTACATATGCTATCAAAGCCACTATCCTGAGTGATCTCCAAAAAGTTCTCGCCCGTTGTTTATTAAAAATTTATAATCAAAAAAAGTTTCATGAATTTCACGTAATTTTTGATCATATACATTTATAAAATAAATTTCTACCTGATTCATTCATTCATGTGTAGTAATGTGAAGTGGCTTCATCCTTTTTTCTCCATCCCCATCCTGAAAAAGACTAATCTAACCCAAAGCTACTTTCATTTAAAATCAAAATTAAGTTTGGGTTAGATTATATCTTCCGGAAGTTGATCTTGCCCGTAGGGAAAAGAGGATCTACTGTGTCCACGCATGTATTTTCTAAAACAAAACAAAATTCATTCTCAGCAAGAATCAAGATTATGGAGTAAATTTCGCTTTTTGCAAAGAACATGCGTAGAAAATGGGTTCCGACTCCCCTTATGAGCGGTTCCGTTTTCAGAAGATATGACCTAACTTAAACCTTATAACTTTTTTTCGAAGGGGTGGAGAGAAAGGGACAGAACATCTTTTCTACTCACGCGTTTTACGCACTACACATAAACGAATGAATTAGATAGAAATTCATTTTGTGAAATGTACATATTCGAAAATTACATAATATTCGTAAAATTTTTTTGTTTATAACTTTTTAATAAATAACGAATAGATGGTTAAAACTTTTTAAGAGTCATTCAGAGTAGTGACAACATATGTCAAGATCAAAATAGTTGAGTAAGTTAAAGAAAATGTTCACCCAAAATTTAATGTAGGAATGGGTGGAAATATAGGAGGAGGAGCAGGCGGAAGCGGCAGATAATGATCATGAGAATCATGAGGATCATCATACAATGAATAGTTTATGCTCTTTAGGTAAACATTTCTTAAACTGTAATGTGATTCATTAGTGGATTATGGAGTTTATGAATTTTATAAGTCACACTTAACAGTTTATTAGTTATATGTATATACTTTCTATTTAGTAAATTATGCGCTTTTACTTCCATAATTATTTAATAATTAATTATTATTAACAAAATAATTAATAACAATAAAATTATATAGTTGATATGTAGCTTCTTATTAAATTTTTACTTCAAGAGTAACTGTAATATCGTATATTACAGTTACTCTTGAAGTAAAAATGTAATATCGAAATATTTGGCAGTTTACATTACGTTACATTTAGTATTTTATATATAAGTCATGAGAGGAAATATATACATATACACATCACAATATATATAGTATAAAATCAAGTATAATTACAATGTATACATATTATACATATACTATATTTACACATGCGTTACATTTATATATGTATACATAGAATACAGAGTATATAAATAGATGTGATTATCGATATGTAAACAAGTTTAACATTAAAAAAAATATGTTTATTAAAAATGAATTACAACAGATTTATATTAATTTAATTTATTATTAATTTTATATATATTTTGTAGGTTTCTGGATAGATATGGATATTGAAGCCTATCATTATAAGATAGATAAAAATGATTTAGATTTCACTCCGCACTTTGACGTCTTTATTAGATTGTTTTGCACACTCAAGAACCCCGATGGTTTTAAAATAAAACTTAGCACTCTGCAAAATACTTATTCGTATTTATTGTTTTTATTTCATTCATTTTATCCCATTCATTTTATCCCATTCATATCCTTAATAAAATCGAAATAAAACGAAATAAATCGAAATAAATAGCTTTTTGAAATGAAAGCTTTTTAATTTTGATGTATATTTGTATAACGTATTTTTCGTTATTAAATTTTTTCGTTTTTACAAATAAAAATAATTTTTTTTATACATTAAAATAAATACAGAGTGTATGTATATATTTAATGTGTTTCTAACGTATTTTAATAAATATAATCCGGATTATATCCCATATTATATATTTTACTGTTCAGTAAGTAGTCCAAAAAAAGGAACAGAACATATTTATGTACATTTAAAATAAATTGTTGAAGAACAAAAACTGCGCAATTCTCAAAAATATCTCAGAAGGTTAAGAACATATTTATCAGAGAGAGAATATTTGTCGCGTTACTGACTTTAATAATCTTATACATAATTTTACACGCAACGCACATATTAACAATAATAAACGCAATGTAAATGAATAAAAGATGAAAAAAATGTACTCACATGAACGACGTTTTCTCATTGTTATTCTGTTCCATCGCCTTTAATCACATCGTCGAATCTGTTCCATCGCCTTTAGTCATGTCGTTGAATCCTTTTCATTCATTCTTTTTTTACACACTCACTTATATCGCGACACAAAACGCGCGCGAAACAGGTAAAGAACAATTACGGAACATAATTATCAAACTCCCACATTTCAACACTTATGACTTCATTAAATTGTCGAAAATGTAGATCTAAAGTTGTTTATTGACTCGAATTTTTTGGTTAAAGAGAAAATTTTCGCGTAGAAAGTTTCGTGTACATCGGTTGTTTCTCATTCGTTGGATTATATCGACTGTCAGGTTTCTCGAGAGATAATCGAGACATTATGTGACAGTAAGAAACGAGGAAGACATGTGTCGCGAAACATAAGTGACAGGTACGTTTCGGCGAAGATACGTCGGTGCGAAATTCACTTCTAAAATTCATTATATTATCCGAGAATCTTCAAAATTGATGCACACATTTACATAACGTTAAATATTTTTAATATAAGATATTCAACTTTTATCAAAACAAAATCTTTGTTTGAACTTTCATGTAGCTTTATCATACAAATGATTGTCGGGAATATCGAATTAATTGACGATAATTAATCGATTTTTTAATTCGGCTAAATAATACGATATTTTCCGTGTTAAATCGATAGTATTAATGGATTAATAATCTCAAATTTACTCGTAATTGATCATGTTTAATGCCTCTTAATATTTATCGGTATATTTTGTAAAATAATTTAACGATACGGAGCGCTTTGCTTTCGCGAATAAATTAACTATGTATTTGGAAATTATGACACAGAGTATCGATTTTCGATTTATGAATCGTATAAACCTGTCGTATATATCTGGATATGCGTAAATCAAGCTAGCACGTCGCGAGAAAATCGTTTTTTTTTAAATATCTTGTATGCAGATTAATTTATAATAAATTATCAATAAATTCTTGTTGTTAAGATCTTAATGTATTATTTTTTAAATAATTTATATTTGAATAGAATAAGAACGAAGTTATGTATTAATATATTTAACATTGTTAAATATATTATCGATCGTTATCGATCGTTAGTTTTAATCACTCATTTGTTGATTACATTTTTCATCATTTATATTACTCGTTGTAGAACTAATTAATGTTCTTTACAAGACTTTGAATTTCTCGCCGTATCACGAGACTGGTAATAATAGACTGGTAATAATAGACCTTCGTACTGACAATTAAAACACTAGATATCATCAAAGTAAGAAAAATAAGAAATAAAAATAGTAATCTATGACTGACAAGGTCATCAAAATAATAAAAAAAAATGTTTTAAAATCTCCATTATCATATTTAGATATTTATTTGAATTAGTCAAACGTAGCATAATAATAAGCGAATATTTCAAAAGGATAATATCGTAAATATATTTCCGATAGAAAATAAAGGACAAATGCGCGTCGAATTGCGAGATAAGATAAGATCCAGCGATCGCAAAAAATAGCAATGCAGCAGCGTGCAGATCGTCGCAAAGACGAGACATTGTAATTATACTGTTTGACGAACTTGACGCGTCAAATACTGTCGCAAATTACGCAAAAAGCGCAATTACGATCGAAATCGCGTTACTTCCTGTCGATGATGGTCTTGTTGTTCTTTTCCGCATTTGAACACATAAACACGTCGCAGATTATGACATATATAAAAGCGAAGAAGAAAAATTTCTGCTGACTATTGTGCATGGTGCATCAAGTTAAGCACGATGATTAAACTATTCTTCATTACTTTACTTTGCGTGACGCTGGTGGTAAGAAATTTCGCAAAAATAATTTATTTGCAATCTCAAGACAAAGTAACGTACATATGAATTATGCCAATTGTGTTGATATTTTGTGTCGATTTAAATATGATAAATTAAATATAAAAAGTTAGAATTTTTAAAATATAATAATAACAATAATATGAAGGAAAAAGTACACATATAAGAATAAATTTTTATGGCTTATATTATTGAAAAAATAAATGTAAATAATATACTTCTGAAAATATTTTTATTTATTTTAAATAATTTTTTGAAACATTTGTATCGCTTGACGCATGCAATTCCATCACACGTTAAATACCGATTATTCAGAGTTATTAGTATTTTGGGATTAGAGAATAATTAATATTGTTTATATTTTAATATCAATTCAATTTTAATTGTAAGACGAATATATATCTATGTAAAATAAAACAATTTAATTGCTCTTTTAGTTCGCCGAGTCGCCGCAAGAAAACTTTCGAAATGTACGAGTAAGTAAGATGCAAGTCTAAATGACTTATATATAAATATGTATAATGTTATGCTTTATTTCAATAAAATTTTCTTCTATTCGACAAAATTTGACGCATAAAAACAATGTAATAACTTCTTTCATATTTTTGTTGGATTTATATTTATTATCAAATAATATTTATTTAAAGGCACTGGACAAACCAATGACAGGATTACATGCGAAATTAGTACGACGATCGGCACAAGGGGGAGGAGCAGGAGGGCAAGCAGGAATGGGAGGAGGATTTGGTAAATATGTACTTTAATTTACCCACCATTAATGACTTTGATCTTGACATATGCTGTCAAAACCACTATTCCGAGTGACCCTCAAAAAATTTTCGCTCGTTATTTATTAAAAAGTTATAAATAGAAAAAGTTTTACGAATTTCACGTAATTTTCGGACATATACGTTTTATAAAATAAACTTCTATTCGATTCATTCATTCATGTGTAGTAAGTGAACCGTGTGGGCTTCGCTCCTCTCCCGCATCCCCCATTCCTCAAAAACTATTCTAATCCAAAGCTACTTTTTCATCTAAAATCGAAATTAGGTTTGGGTTTAGATTATATTTTCCGGAAGTTGACCTCTGCCATGAGGGAAAGAGAACCTACTGTGTCGCCTACACGAACCTACTGTGTCGCCTACACGAACCTACACGCACGTATTATTCAAAACGAAGCAAAGTTTACTTTCAGCGAAAGTCAAGATTAAATGTAGAGTGAACTTAGCTTCGCCTTGTAACAAACATGCGTGAACACAATAGGTTTAAGCCCTCCTCACAGAGGGTTTCATTTTCGTAAAATATAACTTAAACCTATTTCTGGTTTGAGTTACTCTATATAATTAAAATTTTTTGCACCGTGCTTTCAAATTGTACAAAATAGAAACTTTTTTTTGGGGAAAAAAAGGGGAAAAAAGGGACGGAATCCTTTTTCTATTCACACGTTTCATTTACTACACATAAATGAATGAATCAAGTACAGATTCATTTTGTGAAATGTACAAAATATCCGAAAATTACGTGAAAAACTTTGATTATAACTTAAAAAAAAGAACGGTTAAAAGTTTTTGGGGATCACTCAGGTTAATGACAATATATGTCAATATCAAAGTCGTTAGATAAGTTATAATAAATATTTCTCCAGAACTTGGTGCGAAAGCCGGAGCAGGATTAGGTAAATATTTATTCTAACCAGCAATGACTTTAATCTTGACACATGCTGTCAAAGCCACTACCTTGAGTGACTGCCAAAAAATTTTCGCTCGTTGTTTATTAAAAAATTATAAACAAAAAAGTTTCATGAATTTCACGTAATTTTTTATCATATACGTTCATAAAATGAATTTCTACCTCATTTATTCGTTCACGTGTAGTAAGTGAAACGCGTGAGTAAAGAAAGGGTTCCGGCTCGTTCTTTCCCTTTGAAAAAAAGTTTCTGTTTTGTACAATTTGAAAGCACGGTGCAAAAAATTTTAATTATATAAAGTAACTCAAACTATATAGGTTTAAGTTATATTTTACGGAAGTGAAACCCTCTGTGAAGAGAGCTTGAACTTATTGTATTCACCCATGTTTGGGTATAGATTCATTTTGTGAAATGTACAAAATATTCGAAAATTAGGTGAAACACTTTGATTATAACTTAAAAAAAAAAACGGTTATAAGTTTTTGGGGATCACTCATAGTAATGAAAATATATGTCAAGATCAAAGTCGTTAGATAAGTTAAAATAAATATTAATACAAGTTAAAATAAATATTTCCCTAGGATTTGGTATGGACGCTGGAGCAAGATTTGATAAATGTTTACTTTAATCTACCAGCAATGACTTTAATCTTGACACATGTTGTCAAAGCCACTACCTTGTGTGACCTCCAAAACGTTTTCGCTCGTTGTTTATTAAAAAATTATAAAGATAAAAGTTTTATGAATTTCACGTTATTTTTAATCATATACGTTGATAAAATGAATTTTTATGGATTCTCTGATTTATTCATTCATATGTAGTAAATGAAATACGTGGGCTTTGTCCCTCTCTCTCCGCATCCCCAACCTGAAAAAGATCTAACACAAAGCTATTTTTTATTTAAAATCTAAATTAAGTTTGAATTAGATTATATTTTCCGAAAGATGACCCTGTAGGAACCTATTGTGTACGCATGTACTCGTATTTTTGTAATAAACAACGATTAAATTTTCTGTGGGTTACTCAGGGTAGTGATCTTCATAATATATGTCAATATCAAAGCCATTAGATGAATTAAATTAAATATTTATCCATATTTTATGGCGGAGCAGGAGGGGAAGCAGGAGGAGGAGTAGAAGGGGGAGCAGAAGCTGGATTTGGTAAGTATTTACTTTAACTTATCTACTATCAATGACTTTGATCTTGACATATGTTGTCAAAACCACTATTCTGAGTGACCCTCAAACAATTTTCGCTCGTTATTTATTAAAAAGTTATAAATAAAAAAAGTTTTACGCATTTCACGTAATTTTCGGACATATACGTTTCATAAAATAAATTTCTACCCGATTCATTCATTCATGTGCAGTAAGTGAACCGTGTGGGCTTCGCTCCTCTCCTTACACACACCCCATTCCTCAAAAACTAATCTAATCCAAAGCTACTTTTTATTTAAAATCGAAATTAGGTTTGGGTTAGATTATATCTTCCGAAAGTTGACTTCCCCCGTAGGGAAAAGAGAACATACTGTGTCCACGCATGTATTTTTCAAAACGAAGCAAAGTTCACTTTCAGCGAGTGCCAAGATTAAACGTAGAGTGAACTTAGCTTCGCCTTGTAACAAACATGTGTGAACACAATAGGTTCAAGTCCTCCTCAGAGGGTTTCACTTCCGTAAAATATAACTTAAACCTATTTCTGGTTTGAGTTACTTTATATAATTAAAATTTTTTGCACCGTGCTTTCAAATTGTACAAAGCGGAAACTTTTTTTCGAAGGGAAAGAAAGAGACGGAACGCTTTTTCTACTGACACGTTTCACTTACTATACATAATCGAATAAATCAGGTACAGATTCATTTTGTGAAATGTACAAAATATTCGAAAATTACGTGAAACACTTTGATTATAACTTAAAAAAAAAGAACGGTTAAAAGTTTTTGGGGATCACTCAGGGTAATGACAATATCAAAGACACAATGTCAGGATCATAGTCGTTCGATAAGTTAAAATAAATATTAATATAAGTTAAAATAAATATTTTTCCAGGATTTGGCATGAACGGCGGAGCAGGTTTTGATAAATATTTACTTTAACCTACCAGCAATGATTTTAATCTTGCTATATGTTATTGAAGCCACCACACCCAAAAATTTTTCACTCGCTTATTAAAAAATGATAAAAATAGATTTATTTTATGAAATGTACATAATATCCGAAAATTACATAAAATTCATGAAATCTTCCTGTTTAATAAAAAACAACAATTAAGTTTTCCGGGGGTCACTCAGGGTAGTGACTTTGACAATATATGTCAAGATCAAAGCTATAGATAAGTTAAAATAAATATTTATCCAGAAATTATGGGGGAAGCAGAAGGGCAAATAGGAGGGGGATTTGGTAAATATTTACTTTAACTTACCCACCAGCAATGACTTTGATCTTTACAGATGTTATCAAAGCTACTATCCTGAGTGACCTCCAAAAAGTTCTCGCTCGTTGTTTTTAAAAAAATTATAAACAAAAAAAGTTTTATGAATTTCACGTAATTTTTGATCATATACGTTCATAAAATGAATTTCTACCTAATTCATTCATTCATGTGTAGTAATAAGAAGTGGCTTCATCCCTTTCCCTCCATCTCTATCCTGAAAAAGACTAATCTAACCCAAAACTTCTTTTTATTTGAAATCAAAATTAAGTTTGAGTTAAATTATATATTCTGGAAGTTGATCTCCCCCGTAGGGAATAGAGAGTCTACTGTGTCCACGCATGTATTTTTCAAAACGAAGCAAAGTTCACTTTCAGCGAGAATCAAGATTAAATGTAGAGTGAACTTAGCTTCGTTTTTTAAAAAACATGCGTGAATACAATAGGTTCAATCTCCTTATAGAGGCTTCAACCTCCTTATAGAGGGTTCCATTTTCGTAAAATATAATTTAACCCTTTCTTTCTAGTTTGAATTACTTTATATAATTAAAATTTTTTGCACCGTGCTTTCAAATTGTACAAAACGGAAACTTTTTTTCGAAGAGAAAAAAAGAGACGGAATTCTTCCTCTATTCACGCGTTTCACTTATTATACATAAACGAATGAATCAAGTACAGAATCATTTTGTTATATGTACAAAATATCCGAAAATTACGTGAAACACTTTGATTATAACTTAAAAAAATCGTTAAACATTTTTGAGGATCACTTAGGATAATGACAATATATGTCAAAATCAAAGTCATTAGATAAGTTAAAATAAATATTTATTCAGAATTATGGGGAGATTAGGAGAAGAAGCAGAAAAGCGAGCAGAATGGGCAGTAGGATGGACAGCAAGATGGGGAACAGAAAGAGGAACAGGATTGGGAACAGGAGGGGGAGCAGGATGGGGAGCAGGATGGGGAGCAGGAGAGCAAATAGGAGGGGAAATTGGTAAATATTTACTTTAACTTACCCACAGCAATGATTTTGATCTTTACATATGTTATCAAAGCCACTATTCTGAGTGACTTCCAAAAAGTTCTCGCTCGTTGTTTATTAAAAAATTGTAAACAATATATGTCAAGATCAAAGCCATTAGGTAAGTTAGAATAAATATTTATCCAGAATTTATGAAGGATAAGGAGGGAGACCAGAAGGGGGAGCAGGATGAGGAGACGGATGGGGAGTAGGAGAGCAAATAGGAGGGGAATTTGATAAATAATTTAACTTATTGACCAGCAATGACTTTGATCTTTACATATGTTATCAAAGCCACTATCCTGAGTGATCTCCAAAAAGTTCTCGCTCGTTGTTTATTAAAAACTTATAAACAAAAAAAGTTTCATGAATTTCACGTAATTTTTGATCATATACATTTATAAAATAAATTTCTACCTGATTCATTCATTCATGTGTAGTAATGTGAAGTGGCTTCATCCTTTTCTCTCCATCCCCATCCTGAAGAAGACTAATCTAACTCAAAGCTATGTTTTATTTAAAATCAAAATTAAGTCTGGGTTAGATTATATCTTACGGAAGTTGATCTCCCCCTTAGGGAAAAAAGAATATACTGTGTCCACGCATGTATTTTCTAAAACGAAGAAAAGTTCTCAGCAAGAATCAAGATTATAGAGTAAATTTCGCTTTTTGCAAAGAACATGCGTAGAAAATGAGTTCCGACTCCCCTTATGAGCGGCTCCGTTTCGGAAGATATGACCTAACTTAAACTTATAACTTAAGATATAATCTTACTATTTCTGATTTACAACTAAAATTTTTGGTTTCGATTACTTTATATAGTTCAAATATTTTACATCGTACTTTCAAATTGTACAAAACGAAAACTTTTTTTCGAAGGGGTGGAGAGAAAGGAACAGAGCCTCTTTTCTACTCACGCGTTTTATGTACTACACATAAACGAATGAATTAGGTAGAGATTCATTTTGTGAAATGTACATATACGAAAATTACATAAAATTCGTAAAATTTTTTTTGTTTATAACTTTTTAATAAATAACGAATAGATTAAAACTTTTTAAGAATCTTTCAGAGTAGTGACAACATAGTCAAGATTAAAATCGTTGAGTAAGTTAAAGTAAATGTTCACCCAAAATTTAATGTAGGTGGAAGTATGGGAGGAGGAGCACAAAGGAGGCCGCAAATAATGATCATGAGAATCATAAGGATCATCGTACAAATGAATTTTATGCTCTTTAGGTAAACATTTCTTAAATTGTAATGTGATTCATTAGTGAATTATAAAGTTTGATTATAAAGTGAATTTTATAAGTCCGCGCTTAACAGTTTATTTTTATATGTATATACTTTCTATTTAAGAAAATTATGCGCTTTTATTTCAATAATTATTTAATAATTAATTATTATCAACAAAATAATTAATAACAATAAAATTATATAGTTGATATGTAGCTTCTTATTACATTTTTACTTCAAGAGTAACTGTAATATCGTATATTACTTACTCTTGAAGTAAAAATGTAATATCGAAATATTTAGCAGTTTACATTACGTTACATTTAGTATTTTATATATAAGTCATGAGAGGAAATATATATATATACATATCACAATATATATAGTATAAAATCAATATAATTACAATGTATACATATTATACATATATTTACACATGCGTTACATGTGTATATGTATACATAGAATACGAGTATATAAATAGATGTGATTATCGATATATAAACAAGTTTAACATTAAAAAAAAATATGTTTATTAAAAATGAATTACAACAGATTTATATTAATTTAATTTATTATTAATTTTATATATATTTTGTAGGTTTCTGGATAGATATGGATATTGAAGCCTATCATTATAAGATAGATAAAAATGATTTAGATTTCACTCCGCACTTTGACGTCTTTATTAGATTGTTTTGCACACTCAAGAACCCCGATGGTTTTAAAATAAAACTTAGCACTCTGCAAAATACTTATTCGTATTTATTGTTTTTATTTCATTCATTTTATCCCATTCATTTTATCCCATTCATATCCTTAATAAAA